CGGTGAGGCGGTGGGCCTGGCGGTGAGGCGGTGGGCCATAGAAACCACCTCAGACTGGGCATCTCATATCCCAACTTCATCATGTGTTTTGGTAATTACACCCGATTCTCCACATTCTAATTCAGTCATGGAAATGGTGTTTACCGTCTGTCTCGTCTTCCAAGTGCATACTCTCTTGGGGGTCTTGCGACAAAGTAGGACAAAGTAGGACAAGCGCAATGGCCTGCGAGAAAAAATGGAGCACATCAAACACCAGAAATTGGTTTTGACCCATAAAGCCACATAAATTGGGCAATGGTTTTGACCCATGATTCATTTCATCCCTTAGCGCACCTTGCTGACGTCTAGTGGCTCCTGCGATGAGTGCGTGGTGCACAACTTGAGGCCACCTCGCAGCCGACAGACAGAGCCAAACCGACGGTCAGGGATTGTGAGCACACCGAGCACACCTAGGACCTAGGGCGTTCGGGCGTTCAGATAGCACAGCTAAACCTATATATCCCTGCATATGAAGAGCCAGGTTTTCTGTCAAGAACTGGCATCGCTCAAAGTGTAGTTCATTCAAGGGTCAACAACATCATACAGCCAAGAACAAACCCAAAGCAGAATTAGATTAGGTTGTTTTGCTTCTTCACCTGCTTTCCCCAGCGGAAGAATAGGTTCCGTTGCAGCACGCGGACCCCCCCCCTCTCTTCGGCATCCCGGCAGACTTCGCAGCTCGCTGCTGCTGGAGCGTCACATTCCTTGGTCGCATGGATCAAAGGGGTGTCGCTGAACAAAAAGACGACGCTCTCATGAGCAGCTGGACATCTTTTTGATTCTTTTTGCATGTGCTCCATGGTAAGGCAGTGTGTATCTAGGGTAGGCCCCTGCACTGGAGCTCTTTGAAGTGTCCCCCGATGGCCTTCAAACTTGTGAGAAACGAGGAAAACACACACCCTTCCAGGTCAGTTCCACAAACACCACCAATCTGTGGCCAAACCTACAGATTCGCGTATCTCAACATGAAGAACTCTCACAGTCGTTTCGCTGCCTGCCTGCCCTTGAGACCACACCCCTTGTGACATCTCACAAATCGCTTGTCCCGGCCGGCCATTGAGGCAGCAAGTCCTGCAGTGTTATAACTATAACAAAGGGTTGGTTGTTCGCGCCTCGCCTTAGACGCCCTACCACCATCCCATCTTCTTTTCTACCTATGTGTGCCATCTCTAATTCCTGACGTCCCTCGCCGCCTTACGCCTTTCGCAGGGGCTCGATACAGTTCTTGGCATTCTCCGGCTTCGACTCCTCATGTCGTCCTTCCCGCTCAGCGCGGCCGCGCTGCGCTGCAGCACGCACCTGCCGCGTCTGCCTTGCACCAGCAGCGTGGACAAAAATGGGACAGGTCCAGGACCAATTGGGTGTTATATATATCTTGTTCATCCCCTGGTTCTAAGTGCTTCAGTATTGACACACTCAAGTGGTAGGTGGTGAGAAGTTGTGGTTTATCTCTGTCTCAGTTGTTTTGAAGACACAAAATGATCACGAAGTCACAACCTGCGGGCAATGCACGTATACAAGAAACATAGGTAGCTTAAAGGTATTGACAGGGAGAAGCATATTGGGGAAGGTCAGAGATGTTGTTTCAAAACCCTCACCCTCTCGCCCTGTGCACTCAGGTGAATGATGGCTGAAGCTGGTTGGCTGCTGCGAGCACTCAAGACTCAAGACTCAAGACATGCCTTTCAGAACCCTTGATTCACACACATACTTGAGATATCCAGAGCTTCAAGCAGGGGACGGAAGAAGTGCGCGGGGTGAATCCGCAGTTGGCTGTTGAGGTGGTCATTTAGGAGCACTTGCTTCACAACCCTTGTTCGATGCACATAATATGCACAGCTTATCAATGCATTAAGCAGACCAAATTCAGGCCAAAGGTATTGATGGAAACCAGAGATGAGATAGCTGGTGGGCTCGTGCGCCCCTTACAGCAGCTGGTTCCCTCGCACATTTCACTGCTCTCACAGCCAATTCCACCTCATGCGTGCTTTCTGATTTCCAGCATACTGGTGAACACAACAATGGTGTCAAGCAAGGGTGCAAATTGCGTTCTGAGACCTGGTTTCCTTAAATGTTCTGAGTGCTCCTTTTGAAAATTGGCTTGTATTCCTGTGGGTTTTTGCAAAGGTGTTCTAACTGCATGTCCGTTACTACACACTGACTTGCTGCACTGAACAAACAAGTCAGTCTGCTACGAACATTAGTCTTGCACTGGTTCCAGTGTGTCCAGGCGATCTAAGATGTGCCAGCCTTTCGGTCGCCTGCACCATACTTATGACACTGATTGGCTCGCGCATCTCCGATTCATCCACATTCGTGTCACAAGGATCAACGTCTACAGTAGTCGTTATCAGTGGGTGATTTCTGGATCAACTCCGGGCAAAGTTGTGCCTTGCATGCGGATGGGGCAAAGCTTCGTGGCATTGTGTGTGTGTATTCCACCGATCAAAACATCTGAGCGAACTAGAAAAAGACCTGGCTTGGCAGTTCTTTGGCCGGTGGAGACCCAAATTTAATGCAGATATATGCAGATCAATTCAAAGAATATGTGTATATACTGGAAAAAAAACATTGATAGTTGCCTTGGGGCCCTCCACAAATGTCCTTTCCCATCGTTTCCCCTTTTTCGATTCCAAACCGGCCATGTGCCGTCTGTGTTTCCCTCGCGCCTCACGCACTCCTGCACCAAACAAACGGGATGCACCAAGTCTCCGAGAGGGGATCCCAGGCTTGCCCAATGATGTGACTTGTGGGTGGGGAGGACGTTCGTCATGAGTGGTCCGGGAACCCCAACGACCCCAAGCGACCCAAAAAACCCCAACGACCAAGCAACCAACCATGGCCACTATGTCCACCCCTCATTTGGGAGTAAAAGGACCGTGGTCTCCCAAGTACCTTCCCTCATGCAGGTGACAACATGTATTAAAATCAAAGCAGACCAATTGTTTGAAGGATGCCGCTGCTCTTTGATTCATCACATTATATTCGCGAGCCTGAATTAGTCAGGGGGCAGGTTGAGCAAAGTCTTCCGGTCCTGTTAATTGCATATTCCTAATATAGACTCAAATCTTTAAAGCATGTCTGTTTCTCTCTGTACACACAAAATGTACCATCCCAATGGGTCAAGAGCCCACAAGCAAGAATCCCTGACTTGAGTAGCGGAACAATTTTCGTACACCATCACGTGTGAACTTCAATGCTTACAAAACACAGCTAGTCTGACAACAAATAGCTAAAGTCTGACGAATGAACAAAAAGATACAAAAAGTGTGAACGATATCACTTGGAAAAGTCTGATGCTGGCAGGCAGCATCCTTAACACCCAAAAACAACAACACGTGGCCGCACGTCCCTCTCTCTCCCATTTGTGCCGTACGTCCCCTCTCTCTCTGCCAACTGCCGGTCCTGATGGTCTTGCGCAATGTGCTCCGCTTGCGGCAGGCACGCCGCGCACACGGTGGTGCGGCTGTGGTCCGGCAGGGTGCCGTCTGGGAAGTCGAAGGGCCCCGCATGGTCCGAACAAAAAGCTTCTTTGCAAAGGATGCACTCCTGGCTCCAAGGGCAAGTGCTCACTTTCTTGGTCATTACGGTGCATGGTGATTGATTTTGACATAATTTGATATCATTTGAGTGCAAAACTTCTTCCACCACTCGCGCACACAACAGGTCGAAGCCTAGTTAGTGTACATTGCCGGCTGCATTCCACAGCACGACATGGAAATCCCCAATCAAAAGGATCAACAAAGCACAGCTAAGTGAAGATTGCAAAACCTCTTGATACGGGGGCTGTGAGTGGCCGGTGCAAGTTGGCGAGAATTGGGCATGAGATGCAAGGTGCGGAGCGGGCCGTAATCAGAAAAGGAAAAATGATGACCGCTGATGATGAGCTTCACACTTCAATGCGACCATCGTCAGCAGGTCGGTGTCATGAAACACGGAATGGTTCGCAAAGGTTAGGCTTAACCTGTGCGTCAGGGACCCTTCATTGTCCACACTTGGAATTTGCAGCTTGAGCTGTCACAAGTAAAGGTAGCTCAGAGCTTGCACCCTCTAGGCAACATTGCCCTCGGTGTTCAAAAGATTTGTCTAGTGGCTGCCAGCTCTGGAGACTTCTTAACTGGCACCAAGCTGTTCCAGTTCTGACACAGTTAAAACAGCGAAGGGCAGCCTGGGGCAAGTTCTCCAGGTTCCCTGAAATCTGGCTGGCGCTCAATAGTGAAAACATGGATTTGGTTCAACCTTGATTGCCAAATCACACTCCGTGTTGATTCATTCGACGTCCTTTGCGATCTGTGCCAAAATGTCTCTTCACACTCTGATGGTGACATTGTTACAGGTCTGAGACTGCCATTCACTGCTCCACTAAGGCAGTGCCCATGCCGCCCGTCGGCCCCTGTCGGCCCCCTGTCGGGGGCGCTGTCTGGTGCCAGGCCTGCAGCCACAGAGTCTGGAAGAACTTGTTGAAGTGATCGTCTCCCTGGTGTCGGAGGACTTGGACCGTGCCCACCCCACCCCACCGAGTAGCGTCCAGCCGTTGCAAGTCGCGAGTCCCGTTTTGGGCCAACATCCTCCAACCGTGCCGAAGAAATACGGTTCCTTGACACAAAACCTTTGTAGTTAAGAGATGGTATTTTGGTGGAAGCCTGTAAACCTTTGTTGGGAAGACCAAGAGGATGCATAGTGCTTAGATAGAACTTGACCACCTCGAGTGGGGGTCCTGATAGAACAAAAAGGGATCCAAGAACATCGTGACAGAACACTATTGTGATATTGGATAAGTCATCATTGCTAGCTTCTCCGAAAGGAAGGTGTGCATTACCCTCCCACTCTCACTGAATTCGGTTAAGCAAGTCTGTCCCTCTCGAAAAGGGCTCCCAATGGATCCGCCTGGGCTCTAGAAAACCAATGCGTTCAAGCACACCTATTTTGTATTAAACTCAACGTATCTCAACGTTATCACTACAACCTCTTGTTTCTAATAGCTTCTTGTTACTACTAGTAAGGCACTTGTTACTAGTAGCGATGCACTTGTTTCTAATAGCTTATTGTGTCCACAGTTCTAGATGCTTGAAACTTCCGTCAAAGAGAGACAAGTCGACCGAAACCCATCGGTCTCGACGGCTTCTTTGAGCCACTGGGAGCCACATCCGTCGCTCGTGTGCGCCATCGACTGCCGGACTGGTGCTTCTCAAAACCCACCTCAAGACCGGCACTGAAATCACTCCAGGTATCCAACGTCCACCCCAAAAATGGCACCAGCACCGAGTCTCAGCCATTGACGAAAAGCCTTGCTTCCTCGGCCTCGACACCGGACGGTCACCGGACTGGCCTGGCCGTGCTCCGCGCAGGCCTTGCAGACCTTCTTCCAGCGCGCAGGCAACTCCTGAGGCGCACGCAACTCCACCAGGACTGCACAGATCTCCAAGATCACCTGGATTGTCGGACATATCTACCAAGACCCTCCAACAGGATTTCTCTGGAAGCCTTTCTAGATCAAACGGTTTAGTGATATTAGAGAGCCGGGCCAGTTTTTTGGGGCGCTTCAAGTTTGGCTCGGTATGTGAAACCTTGTTCCTCCCAAATGGGTGGTGCAGGTTAGAGCGGCCGGAGCCCGATCTAAGATCGGTGGTTTTTCAGTTCTTCTCAACAGAGTTCCGCCAGGCTTTTCAATAGGGACGTCCCGCCAGCTACCAGGGGAGAACGGAGGGTGGGCCAGCCCAACAGTGCAGATAAACATTCAACTATCTTCCAAGA